CCTTCTTAAGATCCAATAGTGGAAAATGCAAATTTTTGCACTTTTTTGACTGGTCTTAAGATTTTGATCAGGAGTATATTGCACTAAAGTGTCAATAATTGCATTGGCAAGGTAAACTTTTTCTGTATACATACAATCCAATCCCTGGGATTGTCCTCTGCCACAGCTCCCTATAGTCTCATGATGAGCACTGTGGGCTTTCATGCGGGAGATAGGGTTCAAATTCAACTAACGCTACTTTAACAAAAATCTCTTCAAACTTCATATTGTCACACAATTACCTTAATTACAAACATCTGCTGACGTGACAGGCACAAGCTGGTATAGAAAACACATTTGAACTTGGTCACAGTTCATTCTGCAATTCCAATGCTGYAGGCAAAGCCATGCTGCAATGACATGCTACGTGACAATGCACACTTGTTTTTACAWCGTAAAAACCCATGTCTAGTTATTATTGTTTTTAATTTACCGTTATTTAACCAGGCAAGTCCCGTTAATTAGTTGCATTRTACAGTATATAAACCTTTTTTAAAAAATCATGAATAACAATGAATAAAAAAACTCATGGAGACCATAAACCCAGGTGTAGAAAAGCAGGAAAAAAWGTTTATTTTACCCACAGTACCAGGAGTGATATACTTAAGAGATTAAGACTTTTTCTCGAGCAATATTCTTAAAGAGGACTTTTGCCAAAGTAATTTTATGGCAAGATACTTGTACATACGTGAAGCACTTTGGTCAACAAGTTATTAAATGTGCTGTATAGATAAATTTGACATTAACAGAACACCACCTGGTTGTACAACCTTCCAACAAGACACTATCCACCTACACGATACCTGTGTGTATGGCATGCCCCCAYCATGTTGAGGTCCTCTGTTGATTCCTGGGATCCTCTGATCATTTCTTAATCAAACCTGTGTGGACTCATCTCAGACATGAACCCCCACCCAGATCTTACCCGTGCTTGAGGCCCAGTTAGAACAGCTGTGGGATGACTGGGTCACRGGAGAGGATATAACAGCACCTCACTGGCACGCTGCTCCCAACTTTGTTTGACTTGATACATTAATCACTGCTGTACAGTCACTTAACCTTTAAACACACGCAGTTTTATTTCGTTCCCACAATTCAGTCTGGGTGCTTCATTTTTTATWTTAGTGAGTGTGCCTTCTTAAAGGGATCTCCGACAAGTTCCACACGTTGGCCTTTATATGTCGTTATTTCTTTATTCTACTAAAAGTTGTTGTATGTGACACATGACATCATCTAATTTTGTTAAWAACTGTATATGTTTATTACATTTTTCACTTAAGCACATCACAATTTTGTTACTGAAGCAATACATTCTGAGTATGATGATAGGTTCTAGTTGAGACTAAAACACAAAGAGTTGAGGCTAAAAAGCCATAATGTGTGACAATAAAGTTATATTTTGWATAAGTTTATGTTCTGTACAATATGTGTTGAAACAATCAAATGTGATGTTTAGCAAATTAGCTCTGGATCTAATGCCATATAAATGTATATTACTAATATAAATGAGGCTCACAAGCTAATATTATTGGCATTCACTCCTGAGCTAATAAATTATATTAGCTCAGGAGTTAATGGCTGTGTCCAAAATGGCAGGCCGGGTCCTCCGAAGGCCGAATTCGTCGGCCGCATACGTCACAGCGCCGTGACGAAGGACGTCCCAAACCAAAGACTCCTCCGATGCGGCCGACAAATACGTCCTTCCTTTCCCCCGATTTGAAGCACAGGTCTGATGGATCCTTCCCGGCCCAGCACATCCCATAATGCATTGCGGCCCGACC